AAAACTATATTAAATTTAGTTTGCTTTTTTACAAAAAAAATATATTACTATATATTTTAGAATGATATGTGTTACTTATGACTTACATGTGTTATATTGTATTAGTTTTTATAACTTATATCATTAACTACTTGAAATATAAATACATTAGTTGATAAATACTTTTATTTTTCTAGTTAATATTAAAAATAATTTTATTATTGTTATAAAGATAAATATATTTTTCTTTTGTTATACATACAATATGGATGTTAAATCGAAGCTCATCAAAAGAAGATTAATTTGATATATTACATATGTAAAATTGATAAAAAATACAAAAGTTATTAACTTTTAAAATATATATTCAATTCAATAGTTATAATAAGGAATGATATTAAAAATGTAATTAATACATGTAACATGATCATAAATAATCAATATATTTATGGTAATCCGAACCTAATTATTTTTGGTTTGGAATTAAATTAAAATTTATCAAAGCCTAATAACGAAACATGTAATTTTGCCACATAGGATTCCAGAGCACCAAAAGCAGCCACGCAGGCTCAGCGCATTCTGGATTAATATATAGGGGGATACTCACATATACGTAACACATGTTAAGTTTAATTATTTTTAGATATGTTTTCTTTACAAATTAGTTTAAAAAATCTTACATGCACATTTATACTTATATAAAAAGGCATTCTATTTAATAGAATTAGTAGTAAGAAAAGTCAAAGGTAGTTAATGCATTCTATTTTCATCAAATATTTTATTTAATTATTTTAGTTAATTGTTTTATCTCATAACACTTTTTCAATACAACTTACCATGATTTTTCTATTGAGATTAAAAAACAAATTTTACGTTTAAAATATTGTGAAATTATTATTATTATTTTTATAAAGCACATATTATTTGTTAAATATATATATATATATATATATATATATTACACATTACAGTACCATGGTAGATGATTTAAATTTCAACCGTCTAAAATACCAATGATTTAAATTTGAACACACCTATGCGTTTGACCAAATGTCTGGATGATTAAAATTGAGCCCATAAAAAATAATTTAAATTTGAACACACCATAAATTTTATGTACTTTTTATTTATAAATATATTAAAAGTGATATTTAATGACTGGTATATAAACTATTTTAATATATTTGCAATGAATAAAAGTTTGAATGAATAATGTGTAATGTTATTCATAATGTTTGTGACTTATGAGACACGAACACATAACTTCATACATATTTGCCAGAGGGCGGCTTAATAATTTTTTAGACTTAACGTTGATTAAAAGAGGTAGAAAATAGATAATAACATTATTACTTTTTAGACTTAAACGAACAAAGCTGTGAAAATAACTCATTTAATATATTTGTCTCGTGCATCGCACGGGGGTATGCACTAGTTAAATATATGAAGTAAATAAAAATTGTAAGAGTAGTATATGGTAACTTAAGAAAAAATGAAAGGTAAAATAATTTATGGTAATTCCCAAGCTTAATAGTCAAAACCAAATTTGAACACGAGTCAATACGAAACACTAATTTATGCCAAATAAATTTACGAAGCACACGAGTCTGCCACTTAAGCTTAGCGCATTCGTGAATTATACATAGGGGCGATTCGGTTTGAGAAAAATGTCATTTTGGTACATTAGTTATACCCGCTTTTTACTTTTGATAATTTAACTAGCTACTTTAATCAGTTTATATATACGTCATCTATGGTTCGTCCAACACTTTTGTTACAAATAGTTAGTCAACCAGTTTTTTGGTAAAAAAAAAAATCAATAATATTTGATAAGACAAATGCTCGACTTGACTCGCGTACGACTGTACGACGAACAATACTACTCATAATTAAGGATACTAGTATAGTTGTCCGTGCGATGCACGAGAGCTAAAAAAAAATAAAGAACACTTGCAATTAACGATTAAATATTATTGAACATTTTCTTACCTACAATGTCCTTCTTCTTAGAGTTATTTTTATTATCACAAATTAATATTTTCAACCGTCTCTTCATCTTCTTCAAAATCATTATCTCGCTGAGCAAAATTTTCTTGTCTTCATCCTTAGCATGCTTTATTGTTAATGAACTCGATTCACCGAACAACTTTCTCTTATAATAATATTTCAATGGTGGCGATTCCTTGGGAATTGGATTCTTTTTTAGACTGATCACCTCGTCATCATCAATTTTTTCTCGTCATCCACATCAGCTCCCTATAAATGTAAAATAACCAAATAATTAACATTATATACTTTAATTTTATAAATCATAATATTAGTTAATTATTAATTAAAAATATATAAAAAAAAATATAGCACTCCTAAATTATAAATTTATATGCATTGCAATTAAAATATATGTACACATATAAGTAGTAGAATCTGTAGAATGTTTTTGTTTTATTTTCTATCATAATTTTGAACAATAAAAAACACATGGCCATGATTAAATTAATCTATTAAATCATTCTATATATGTTCGTGGATAGATTAAATTAATAATTACAATTACTAATGAAAATTTGTGAACTAAAAATTTAAGTTGAATCAATGTCACAACCAAAATAATAATCTCATTTCAAATAAGTAGAAAAAAAAAACACTATTACTTAAAGTTAAGAAAAACCTAGAGTAATAATCTAAATACCATTACTAAACTTAAATTAATTAGTCCAAAACATATCTAAATTTTCACTGCAGCCTGATCGACAATTAACTTTGTGACCATGAAAAGCAATTTCGTACCTTCATATTGTTGTCTTATATCTACCACCGTTTGGAGCTACAATGAAGTAACTTTTCAAAAAGCTCTATATGAAACTTCTTGATTGAAGCATTAATACGGTACCCTTGAAATTAACAAATAAAAATAAAAAACAATTATAAAACAATCAATTATAAGGGAAAAGTATTATAGTTGAGCGATCTCCAAATGTTGTACGCTCGTAATATCTTACAACACGAACCTTGATGTTCCATTCAGTCTTGTCCATGTTCACATTCTTAAGGAGAGTGAATGCCATGTTTTTTTTGTTTGTTTGTTTGTTTGCAGTGAAAGTATATTCAATACTTAATCCCACTACAACTACAATAGTAAAACATGACTTGTTAACTGCCACACGATAGTAAGTGCTGAGTGGTTAACTGCACGATAGAGTGCCAGTACTTAACTGCTAAACACGATAGGTAATCCAATTCAACCACTTACTTTAATCCAATTCATTCGTTATTTATTATTTATTATTTACTGTATGGTTTATTAGTATAAAAATACGGCAGTTACGAATGAACGATGTAGGTGAAACTTAATATCTGAACACAATATATAGTATTAGTATTACTTTTACTACATTATTATTATTATTAAATATTTTCGTTTAAATTATTTATCTAATTTTCATAATTTATACTTTATAAATTAAAATAATTATAAGTGTTCGTATGCTTCTTGCCTAAGTTTTATAATTTTTTTTTATCTTAAATTTTGTGTACAAATATTAAATCTAATAGTAGTGAAATTACATATAAATATTTTAAAAAACATGTAACAAATAAACATTTTTCATTCTTCATAATAATAAATAAATAAATAACATGTTTGTTGAATAAAGTAGAATAAAGTGAAAAATTTTAAAACTTAAAAATTCAAATGTACAACCGTGGGATCAACATGCAATTTATACATTTTTCCAATATAGAAAGAGTAATGTAGGACCCACAACTTATTTTCCAAAAATAGAAAGTGAGTTGCCTAATTATATAGTAAATCTATATATATTGAAAGAGGGAAGTAAATAAATCAATTGTGGAAACTTTTAAAAAAATGTTTTCACTTTCCATTTGTGGAAAGTTGTTGAATGACCGAAAATTAGGAACTTATCTCTTTAGATGACCGAATAAAAATTCATCTTTATCACTTTGAAGCATAAAATACTCAACAACTTATCTCTTTAAAGGACCAAATAAAAATTTATCTTTATCACTTTGAAGCATAAAATACTCAACAAAATTAAGATTCATCCTAATCTCTACCCACGTTTTAAAAAAAATTCTATATAAAATGATAACACTACATCTATTCAC